GTGAAAATAGTGTTTCATTTTGGGTTGCCGAAAATAGTCTGGCATGTCGAAGCCGTCATTTCCCCTATTTGGATTCAACGAGGCAGAATTTATGTATAAAATTCATTGCCAAACAAGCTTCTATTCGGTCTATAACTGGAGGGGAGGGGATTGTGATTGCGTGACGTATTTCTCAAGGGGCGATTTAATTTAGGGGGTTTTAATTTTTCCTATTGATAAAATCACCAGTAAGTGCGAGCAACTTCGAGCTAGTTGGAGCGGTGTCATCCCTAATAAAAATAACAATAAAAGAGAGCTTAACGACGTGTTCAGGGTATCATCCAAACCATTTGTGGGATAGTTTACTCATCCGGAATACAGTTCGTTTATGGTATTTGTTTATTAGAGATTGAACACGTTTTTTTCTAGAAGCTCGAGAAAGTAGGGTCTTATTAATTTGTAATTTGTATATTATTTATTCCTGACGATAACCTATCAATTGACAAACTTTTCTTAAGGTCAAGGAAGCAGTTTTTGGAGGAATACATAACTAAATAAACTGCACAAATTAAGAAGAAAAAATAATTAGAAGCAGAAGTTACTGGAAACTACAGTGAATTATGGATTTACGCTTAGCTTGAAAAATCCGGAATTTATTGATTAGTGTTCTTAAAATCGCTGGTCTTTCCAAATGGAAATTATGTAATTTATGAAAAGCTTGAATAATCAGAATTTATTGATTAATTGAGTGCCAACATTTCAAAGGGGCGTAATTGCTTTTGTAAACAATGGCTTTAGCTATCGATTTCTCGCAAATAAAAGTCCATCCCTTCAAATTAACAACGTTAGCAGGCAAAGGAAACATTCCTCTACCTGGTGGTGTAATTAATCTTCATGAGTAAGTTTTAATTTCACGAGAAATCGACTGCTAAAGTCATTGTTTACAAATACAATTACGCCCCTTTGAAATGTTGACACTGGTTACTGGTCTACTACTCGACAAGGTAAATAGGGATGTAACAATGAAGTGCAACAGTATTCGTGAAGTAATAAATACTTTGAACATGGATCTTACTTCTTTTTTTTTTTTTGTAGTGATCCAGTGGCAGCACTTGCTTAAACTCTACACTGGACCCCTTTTATTGATCAATTTTGCTTCTATGAGCCTCTATTTTAAATCAACACACAGACGTTCCTAGGCTATGGTGCCCGTTTGGTCACTGTTGTTTTTGTGCTGATCCAAATAGTTTTGATAATATAATTGCGCATTCCTTTTTTTTTAAGGTTGAATTTTGTCGCAGTCTTGTCTTCTGTCGTCACTTATTTTGTCATTTTGTCTTGTGTATTAACCCCCACTTGTCTTGTTTATTGTGTCAACTTGTGTCTATTGTCCTTCCCCATCTGTTACTCTGTCATGACTAATTTCATTGATATATAAAAATAGTAATATCAATTACAGGATAATATGGTTATTTCTCGATTACTTTTTCAAAGGGAAGCACCAGCTCCTGCAAACAATGCATCCGATCGTCGATCCGGCGCAAACGGCAGCTCGCACACGCTCATCAACACCACCAGCAGGTAGAGGAAAATTTCCCCTATCTGATGATAGTGCCAGCCCGCGTGGGCGAGCCACCAGTTAAGCCAAATCGACGACCAAACGCACCGCCTACAAAAGCCGATACGCTCCCTTGAAAAAGTTATCGAGATTTCTACTAATTAATGAATTATTGACAATTACCTCTCATGATCCTTGGCTCTGATTTTAACTTACCACTTTTTGATTATTTATCAAATACCTCTCCCAGAATATATAACTCCCCGATGCCTCATTTGGTCTCATTTGGATTGGTCCTGAATTTGTTTGACATCCTGTTCGAAGTAATTCTTTGAGTTCCAGCTTGTACGTGTCTCACGTCATATGATTCGCCATTCATAAAGATAATGGGTTAAAAGGGAGTAAAACATACATAAAGGTAGATTAGTATTAGTTGTACTTGATCCAAACAATAGAAAGAAGCATAGATGACTTAGTAGAAAAATAAAACTAATATATAACTAAAAGTGCAATGGATAAGTGTTAGTTCCGGGATCATTTTAGTGTTAGTAGTTATGTTAGATGTATGACTTGTCAATTTTCGCAACGCAATGTCTTTCAATAAATCACTCAATCAATTTGATGTTTGAAAATTTGCTCAAAAGGGCTTTGTTGACACATCATACCTTACCGAAAACTAAAGCACAACAATCCTAATTCTTATTTCAAACCTATCAACATATTTAACACATCTTTCCTAAAACTTCACTTGTTCGTAAGCGCCTGGTTGAAGATATGACTTTCGCTATTGACATTGTCTGTAATTAACAAATACACTAAATAGGAAGATTTATTATACAACTTCATAGGCTAGACGCCTCCCTAAGCGGACCCCCCGCGTCCTATCTCTTATGTTAATTAACTTTCTGAATTCTATAATTGAAGTTTATTTAATAAATAACTGAAATCTCTAATCTACCTACACAATCATAACCCATGCTTTTAAACTACAATTTAACGTGTTTCAAGTACTTCTGGCTTTTACATATATTAATTATATCTTTGTTCTTCCCAGATGACACCTTCAAGTGACTCAAATGCTTCACTTTGAAGTTAGTTTCCAAGCTAATTTTAAATTGTATATTGTATAGGGTAAATGTTCCAACTACGCTCTCACGCTTCCACTATGTCGCACCACAAAAATACATATGGGTATGTCACAATAGAAGCACACCACAGTGGAAATCCCGAGCCATAGTTCAAACACTTATCCCAAATCAAAATGAAGCACATATAAGATTAGTTACAATACCATGTACAAAAATGATGTTTAACATTGTTTCCTGAGTAATAATTCAATGAAAACAACAATGAAAGCTTGTCACGCAAATAGAAGGAGCACTGTTGGGCACTTTCTGAAATATTTCAATAGGATAATTCCCTTGCAAACCCAAATGAATCTATCTGCGTAAAAATAAATAAAATAAGAGTGATTTGCGGCAAAACCCGCCAGTATCACACCCAACGTCAGTGCCTATACGTAAGCGTACTACAACGCGGCTTTCAATTAAAAGAGTAACAAGTGTGATACTATCACTGCTAGACTAGATCTTTGGTTCTCTCATGGAGTGGTTTATCAGAGAGGGGAAGCTCAGTAATCTCCATTGCCTGCCCATGACGCCATTCTATCGCGGCATGAGCCAGCAACGCCGACCATAAACCCACCGTCTCCAACACTCCACTAGCATGAAATTAAGCCCGCCCACCAACAGCAAGGTGCAAAAACTAGCCAAGGGGAGGGACTTTGAACATGGATCTTACTTCTTTTACAAGTAGGGGAGAATGGTATACAACGCACCCCCTGGGCAGAACGCACCAGCTGACTTTCATTTGTGTTTTTCATGGCTTTTACGTAACTTTTTTGTTGTCTTATCAAGCAGCACTTCTAGCATAGCATCTGAACTCAAAATCCTGCACGATAAATCCTAGAATTGGATTAAAAATTCCAAGAAAAACTCAAAATAAAATGAAAAAGTGCGTCTTACCCCGGGGGTGCGTTATGTACTGTTCTCCCCTAATAATTAATCGTGCGCTAAGACTTTTTCGCGGTTCTATAACATTCCCCCGAAAAGTATGACATGTATTAGATTTACTATTTTTGTTTATTATAGTCACTCCTGGAATCTTTTTTCGTGTATATAAAAAGAAGAAAACAAAACTTCTTAATGGGTCAAGGGGTTTTAGGAGACCTTAATGGATGAATAGGTTTTCCCTTCTTTGAAAATATAACAAAAGGAAATAATTAATTCTTTGGATATACGATAAAGAAGGGAATACTCCCTTCTTTGAATATATAAAAGAAAACCTAAATATATGATAAAGGATGGAATATTCCCTTCTTTGAAAATATAAGAAAAGGAAATAATTAATTCTTTGGATATAGATGAATATTCCCTTCTTTTAATATATAAGGAAAATATACAATCAATAGCTTTTCGCAAGGGATTCGGGGTTATGACCATTTGGGATAATAACGAGTGGAATAATGTTATAAATTTGTAATCGGTAGTTCAACGTTCCATGCACCGATTTTTTAATCCATCAACTCAGGTCGAACAATTCTTCGATAAGGTTTAACCACAGACAAACAGACATAACACATTGAATATTTCTCACTGTAAAACATCGTCGTTAAAAAATATCCGCCATCTGTTGAGTACACTGTGGTGGGTAGTACGCTGAACAGATGGCGGTAGTGTGTAAACGTCAAACGCAAGGAAATTGACTATGCGCGCCACAGGTGGCGATACTACCAACTACGATACTTTTAAATTGACCGTTAAATGCTTGTTCGATGAACATCTTGCGAGTGTTATGTCTGTTTGTCTGTGGTTTAACAGTATCCGACTGTTTGAATTGGATTGCATAATAGACCCTTTTACTTTTTAAATGATGAACGAAGTGCTCGAAAACTTAAGGGTTGTCATTTTATAAAGAGCTAAAAAATGGTTTGGAATTGATAAATACATAGTTCCATAAAAGTAAACATAGTGTATTATCAATAGTAAAAAAAAAAGAAAAGTGAAAATTACTAATTTCATCATCTTTTCTGGGGAATACTTTTCTGTGGAATGTTTTTCTGGGGAATGTTGCATTCTGGGGAATGTTATAGAATCCTTTTTCGCGTATCTGTTTAGGATAAGCAAATAAGGTAGTGGAATTAAAAGGAAATTACTAATCCTTCTCACTCTCTCTTTATACAGGTATTCCCGAGGTAATCGACTAAGACGTCTACAATTCATGAGGATTGAACCCATCGTAGCTAATCAAATGAAAAAGTCGAAAGGTATTTCTTTCAGTGATAGCCGACTAAATTTTATTTCCCCGTATGAAAAACAAAACAATTATTATTTACCCTACAACTCTGGCAGCCAACATATGTAATAGTTTCAATTACCCAGATAAGATGACTAATTTCACTTACCAATCACCACCTGCTTCCTATAAGAATCTTCGATGGTTGGATCGTATTCGTCCACAAAATGATTTTGGATGAGCTGTATCGTGAGTGCAGATTTGCCAACGCCTCCAGCGCCGACCACTACCAGTTTGTATTCCGTCATTGTTATTGTTGTTACTAGCTACTGCTGTTGTTGAAGGAATCGAACGTTCCCCCTGTGCCAAGAAACAGCAAAGCTTGTTGCTGCTATTCAATGTACAACATACACTTCAGATGTTGATCGAAGCTTTGATCGTAGCAGCGGAATAAAGAACCTTTCTCCACACTCGCGGCCGTCGTCGTCGTTTTAGTCGTTGCTGTTGTTATTGTTGGAATAACTACTCTTGTTCTCTTTTGATGATGTTGATTATGTGCACGCCCGTCTTTTCGTACTCTTGGTTTCTCTTTTTGTGTGTTTGATTAATCCCGGACGCTCCTCGTCGAATACTGCACGCACTCACACAGACTTGAGAACACAATCCTATCCGGACAGCCAATGTATCTCTGTCTGTCATACGAGGTCGCGAGTAGGAAGGAGTAGTTAATTACTTAACAGTTTGCCAAAATAATCAAATAGAAAAAAAAAAAAATGCAATGTGACACCGTCTTAGCTGAGGGGAGAATTAAAAACTGAAAACCTTTCTTTTTCACCAAAAATAAAACAGAATTTTTCGGCCTTCACACAACTACTGCCTCAAAATGTCTACTTTGTTTTCCACTCATTTACGTTGTCACTGGCTGGAGTTTATGATTGCTCAAATCCGTCGAGTAGCCACCGCTAGGGAACACTTTTTTTTTCTTTGCGACTGTCTTTACAGACGGCGAAGACCAGTTTGGTCCATCTCGCCAGGGAACACTTTTTCGATTACAACCTTCTTTTCTCGGAATGACTCATCCCAAATCTGGACCACAAACAACCATATTAGCTAGTAATGACTAATTTGCGAAAGAGGCTTAGAGATCTACCAGAATTACGAATACTAGAACCGATTGGTAGACGGCTAAGAATAAAAAACATTCAAATTCACTTGTTCACTTTATGTGCTTCCTTCGCGACGGCGATGCCCGAGCCCGACAGAAAATTTTCCGGCCAGCGCGTAGCCTCCACACAGGCACTGTATTTGCTGCACTTCTAGTTTGCACACGACGCACTTTTTCCGTGAAAATTGAATTTCACTACTAAGCGGAACATGAATTTGTACTCCGAGAAGTTTCGATGAAAAATTAGAAGTGAATTTTCACTTTCTGGCAATCGTTATCTGATCGAAAAGTTTCACTGATTCTTCGTTCTACCATCACCTCAGGCCGCGGAGGAGAGACAATCCCAAATTCCTCTTCTTGTTCTTCACACTTTTTTTTTCATTTGTACTGCTGGCATCACTGCTGGTATGGTTTTGAAATGGGTTGAAATAAGTTCAGCTGCGGTGTCACTTGTTAATGGATACTTTTCTGGAGTTAAAAATCACAATAGGTCGTGTAAACAGCAAAAAAATGTATTATCGATCAATGTAATTCAAGCTGATGTATATGAAATAATGATGTAATAGCAAAAAGCAGATACAATATTACATCAATGGATGTAATTTTGTTCGCAAAATCGATGTACATCGTACAACGTTATATTACACAACCGATGGATTGACCTGGTTGCAGCAGTTTGGATGTAATATTCAACAACTTTTTTTGTGTGTAGTGTGCTTTATGCCAGACTATAGAGATTGCTGACGTTTATCGTACGCACACTACGTCAGATATACGTATACGCAAAATGTTTTCATCGGGAAAAAAAACTTCATAGCGGAAAATTTTCCCGATGAATACAAATCACTGACACAATCATACTTTAGCAATCTCTATACCTGCTCCGGTTACTCTAACGAAAGGAAAATTTGGGCCTGTTGCTTCATTTTTAAAAAGTGTAAATTTTAATTTTTTTGAAAATAATAATTTCTGACAGATTAGAAAAAAAACGAGTACAAGCTATTCTTTTAATGGGAACTTTCAAGTAAGCATGAAGGAAATCGGGTGGATTTTTTTATGTACAGAAAATTAAAAACAACTCAAAATGAAGTTTATTTCGACTAGAATGAGGTCGCTTATAGATGTACTTGGGCCAATTTAAAATCACTAGTTTCCACCGGTTGGTTTAATCATGGTTGATTAAATTGAAAGTTATCTTGTTTGAATACATTTGAATCATTTTTGATTTAATTTGAATCTTTTTTGATTGATTTTTAATCATTTTTGATTATATATTAATATTCTAAAAGAATAAAACTTAATTCTGAAAAAATAATTTTTTATCACAAGTGATTAATTAGAATTTAATCATGCATGACTACAGCCGGACTCAATAATGTGAAGCGGTAATTTGCATTTTTTAAGCTTATTTTTAATGTAATTTATTATTGAGTGTATACCCTTATAAAAATACCCATAAAAAGAGAGCTAAACGACGTATTCGGGGTGGAATCCAAACCATTTGTGGGATAGTTTACCCATCCGGGAGACAGTTCGTTTATGGTATTTTTTTATTAGGGTATAGTGCATTCTATGCACACGGGTATTGATGGTCTGAAAGTGAGGATAACAATAACAAACCAATATTTTTGCCTGGAGCGAAAGTGAGGATAGCAAATTTAGCGCTTGAAAATAGGATTACGCAAGTGTTTGTGTTACACGGATAGAAATCTCCTTATACCTTTTTGCAAATTTTTATTGCTGATTATTCATAAAATGTATAAGTCAACTAATAAGCAGACGCCATGCAAAAAATTAATGAAGATCATGTTTCAAATGAAATGTATAAGCGGTCACACATACCTTATATGCATTCTTATAGGACCTATGTAGTTTGTCTTATGGAATGTATAAGCACAGACAAACAGACATAACACTCGCAAGTTGTTCATAGAACAAGCATTTAACAGTCAATTTAAAAGTATCGTAGTTGGTAGTACCGCCACCTGTGGCGCGCATAGTCAATTCCCTTGCGTTTGACGTTTACACACTACCGCCATCTGTTCAGCGTACTACCCACCACAGTGTATTCAACAGATGGCGGTAATGTTTTTGCGACGATATTTTACAGTGAGAAATATTCAATGTGTTATGTCTGTTTTTCTGTGGTATAAAGCTGATATTTTGGCAAAAATGTATAAGTGAAACACATGAATAAAATAGTTGATTTTCGTTTCGTGTATAAACGTCAGAAAGGTCAATAGTTCAGCCCATTAGGTTACTTTTAAATAAATGGCATATTCTCAAATTTACGAGAGTTAAACTTAATTTTGGGTAGAATTAAAGAGCGTGAATTTACATCTTATCCATTTGACAGGTCTTCTGCTCGATTGGAATGACTTTTCCTATGACTTTGACAGACAATCGATTGTTCCAATTTTGACATGTCGTCTCTTTATAAATTCAGGCTCTTTAGGTAGAATATACTTAAGAGTAAGTAATTTTTTTGTTGTTGGTGTGAATGGAAACTAGTATGTTAATTACTCAAATTTGGGTTATTGGGCTGAACCCGGGACTTGAGGGAAAAGTGATTAATTTTGGGTAGTATTTCATCTCCGTGAGGGGAAATAAACGGAGAGAGGTCGCTAAACTCAAATTCGGGTTTAAAAAACCTAAATTTTGGGTAGTTTTATTTGTGTATGGATATTTTGTAAGTGTAGCCACAGCTGAAATAATCTTAACCGAGCGGTTTATCCCTCGTTCGAAATTGTGACATTATTTGACGTTTATTTTGCATCAAGAAGACGGAAAATATTTTGCATTTCGTTTTGGTTACTCTATAGCATTACCAGAGATTGTAAATTTCTGTTAGTTAACTCTATGATTCAAGGTAATATTAATCAAATATTTTACTATAGTACTCATGCAAGAATCATATTAATTCGTTATTGATATTTTTCTGTACCGATTTGGATGTACGCTTGCAGGGATTGACGATGTCTGAACGCTATCACAAAGGAACATATTAATCCAATTTATGCACAGTCTGCTGCGGTAAAGATAGTAGAAAGGAAAAAAAAACCTTGATGAAATCATCGTCTCTACGGTTGCGTTTGCTAATGCCGAAAACGAAGGCTATCAATATAGAATGTCCCAGAGTCCACCTAATTACATGGATGGAGTCCCGGTGAAGATATCGGAGCGCTTTAAACCTCCTCCAAAGATTACACTTCCGCAGAGTGTTATAAATCGATTGGCACAGGTCGAAAATGGTGTTGCCTTGCGAGCAGTGATCGGCTATGCATTTGAGCTGGAGGAAACAGTACTTAAACGGATTACTGAGTGGCGGGCGGTTAAGGAAAAGGAACGTGATGAACGCGATGAACGAGTGAGACTCAAGGAACAGGAACGGGCGAGATTGGTAGATGAAGAGCAAAAGCGTAAGTTGAACCAGATTTCCTACCCTAACACCGATGACCTTTCCAGTGCCAGTGAAGGCGAAGATGAGCCATCAGAGGAAAATGATGAATCTTCGCCATCGGGATCGTCTGAGGAGCAAGTTCTCAAAAATCAGACACCTTTAGTAGTTAGTTCTGGAACAGTGCAGTATAGTCATATGAATAAGTTTGATACAATTCTTATGCCGACGGTACTCCCCGAGGTAGCGGCGGCGATGATAGGCGCCACTGGTAAAGTGATCGATTCTGGTACACCACTAAACTTCAGCATTCCAAAGAATACTAACCTGTTGAATAATAACAACAATAACATCTACAACAAGATAAACTATTCAGATTTTGAAAATGACACTTCCAGTCCTTTTGATAACATGGAGTTGAAAACTATAAACGATTTGGACATTTTGGCTCAGGTTTATAATTTAAATATTTCTAATTCTGGTTCAGTGCGAAGTCCTGAAGATTCTAATGAAAAGAATGCCAAACCGCTTGAAAAGCGACAAGATTTGAATGTCAAACATCAATCTAACGAGACTTCTCCTGAACAGAGTACGAATGTGACCACAACTCAGCAGCCGCCCGACTATCAGCAACAGTCACAATATCCACAAGCAGTGTATCTACCGAACCCTCAACAGCAAGTCCCAACAAGTGATTATTATAAATCTTACAACAGTTACCAGTATAACTATGGACAGTACGCTGCCTCTTCGACAGCTAGCTACGCTTCAGCAGATAACCGCTTCCTTAGTCAATACAATTCCGCTGCTGGTACTTCCTATCAACCATCGGTTCAATCTCAGTACCAACCTTTTAGCCAGGGTCTAGGATCTAGCACTTACAATTACTATCCGTATACAAGTTCCTCCAACAATTCAACAACGCAGTCCACGTATGCAAATGCATATTTTTACTCCAACGCTTACGGTCATCAATCTCAGTTAATGCCTGGTTACAACTATTCAGCTCAAGGTAGTACGACCGTTGCTGAGACCCCGTCTACCGGCTATGGTAGCGTGGTCGCTACTGATGGCTCGATGAGTGACTCTGTCGAGGTGTCCTCTATGAGATCTAAATCTAAAAGTGTACCGGACATTGTCCGCCAGCTGGACGAAGAAGTGAAAGACTCCGCACAGCGAAGAACACGAAACAATAGTCAATCTGTTGCAGAAAAGAATCACCAAGAAGAGGGTAAGTTCAGCTACGAGCTCACAGCATCAAGTGTGAACATACATACAACATTTTTATTTATTTTTTGTCACAGATAAGTCCATTGCAAAATCTGCAACCGCGCAGGACTTGACTCTATATAATCGATTATCACCAAGCGATCAGAATCTAGTGAAACGTATCGAGTCGATGGGATTCCCATTAGAGCGCGTAGCGGCGGTGCTAAAACGAATAGGACATGATGATAAGAAGGTAAATGACCTACAATTATTCAGCTAACTATTTCGATTCAATGTTTTATCCTATTTTTTGGACAGATCGTGGAACATCTGATACCGCTTAGTGAGTTATTGGATCTGGGTTTTGAGGAAGAGAAAATATCTGATGCGTTAGTCAAATTCGACAACAACAAACACAAAGCATTGGATTATTTAATATCGTAGTATCGTATACCGGATATAGGTAGTGTACTATTTATTTTTGGTATATGGTTGTCGCTCGACGCAGACAACGACGCGATTGTGATTGCTACGCGCAGGAAATTAAAAACATATTTGTTCGAAATTGATGTATAACGTGTAAACCAAATCGATTGTAGTAGCTATTTTACACTAATACTGATGGAAACATTCAATTTATAATAGGCTTTGCTTGACCGATGCCTTTATTAGCCGACGTTATAGAAAATATGTTGTACTAGCACTCGAAATGCATATAGTGGATAGGATAAGAGCTGTGAGTGCAAATGCCACTCTTTTGCGGTATGATATTGAGGTTTACTTATAATTGACATTGGAAAGTATCTGCAGTATAGGTAACTTTGTTTGGTTCCAACTCGTGTGAGATTAAAATTTTGCTTACAGTCGTTTGTATATGGTCTATAAAAAAGAATGCTATTTTTATACATATTAATTCGTTTTTTTTCTTGCGGAATAATCTTTAAACGATAGAAGGAAGAACAATATAAACAAGCTATTAAATTAATATACCAAGTATATTTATTTGTCCGAAATTCCTGTTTTATTTAAAGCAGGTCTGTCGAACGTACGGCCCACGGCCTTGTTTTGTCCGGCCCACTATGTGTTCGAAAAAAGTATTTATACTGCGGTTTAAGGGGTACACACTAAAATTATTTCACAGATTTCTATGAAAAATTGTTATTGTTATTGCTATTGCTCAGTTCACACCCTGGCCGGCTGCTACCTACCGATCTGCACTTAAGCCAGGCATGAACCTACGGAAATTTAGTCGTGGCCTATGCTAGACCGTATAGCATAACGACTTTCCTCTCACTAGCAGGCTTGTTGGTCCCACTAGCTTCCGATTAGGTAAGAGATTAAAAGAATAAAGAGAGAGATAGAGGATTTTGTTGTTTTGCTGAAAAGAAAAAAAAAAGAACTAAAAAAACACGCCAGCTTGTTGTGCAACATCAGGTTTGTTCGCTTTCATTTCCGTTCCAAGGGGGCTACGTCAATCGCTGTTGTACTCAAATACCTGATGGGAACCTTCAGAGGTGCACAGGGCAAACGTGAAAGACTTCCTTTCTGGGCAGCTGCTTGACCTGGGCCCTGGTCGAATTCCTACACGAAACGAAAATCAATTATTTAATTCATGTGTTTCACTTATACATTTTTGCCAAAGCATCAGCCTTATACATTCCATAAGACAAACCACATAAGTCCTATTAGAATGCATAAAAGCTATGTATGACCGCTTATACATTTCATTTGACACATGATCTTTATTTACTTTTTGCAAAGCGTCTGCATATTAGTTGACTTATACATTTTATGAATAATCAGCAATGGAAATTTGCCAAAAGGTATAAGGAGATTTCTATCCGTGTATTGGCTTGCTTGATTTACTTATTGACGCCTAAGTGTTTGCCTTTGCTGCGATGTTCTGGCGGATTTAATTCATAATCATAATCAACAAAATTCGTTTATACTTCTTCACTAGTTAATTGTAATTGGTTATTAGTAGTAATCAGTTGCGTGACTGAAAGGAGACAAAAACAAAAACAAACACCGACAGAAACAGGAATAGAAAATTTTTGGTATCTCCTTTCAGCTGCAACTAGTTAATGGTTTCTCTTCAAAACTTGGTTGGGATTAGTTTATCGTTAGTCGTTTATCATAACGTCCATCTTCGCGTTCCTTTATTGTGTTCCTCTCCTATTGTAGCTTCCGTCTTAAATCCCTCCCCATGGGCGACTTTATGTAAATGTTCCCAGATCCCCTTCCCAATCCATATCTTCACAATTATTGGTTATTAAATCTCGCTAATCTTAAATATGTTATTGATTTAGGTTTCTATTCCCATAGTCGATCCCGTTAATTAGTTAGTGCATCATGTTACGTTATCTTATTATTCTTTTTTTATTATTTCATTCAATCAATTACAATTATATGCAAATTGCAAAATAAAACTTGATAAATCACGACAAATCATCGTCAATCCTCTTATTCTTGGGCAGGGCCTGATAATGTGAATCTGATTTTGTTCAGTGAACGGGCACCATATGGTACATTCTCTCACTATGAACGTGTCATTTCTAGCCTATCTGAACTATTTAATAAATTGAAACCATAACATGGTGTTGGGACCAGGCTTGCTTCCACTCACTTGCTATAAAAACACGATTTTCTGAATTTTGAAATCAGATGTTATAATAATATTTTGTACTTGTGAGATACAAGAAGAGGTTGATATGCAAGTGTTTGACACATGAAACCTGTCAAATTTGCTTTCAGATAGTCACAATCAGCAATTTTACGACTCGCGAGCGCTCACTCTGAGTGAATGCTCACGAATCATAAAATCGCTTATTGTAACACTATGGTAGCGAAATTGACAGGTTTTATGAGTCAAACACTTGCCTTTCATCCTCTTTTTGTATCTAACAACTTGCAAGTACAAAATATCATTAAAACATCGTGTTGACACCACTGGGCTTCAGCTGTACTCGCGACCGGCCTGCCGTGAAGTGAGATGTGAGAAGCGAGATGTATGCGTCACCGGTCTACAGCGGTAGGACCGTCGTTGATTGTTTACATCGATTCGTGGAGAAGTAGAACGGAGGATACAAACAAAAACAAACCCAAGAGATAGTGGAGGAGCTCAGTTTTGTTTAATAAAGTTGTAAAATCACAAACAAATCTAAAGTTTAAATCAGTTTTCTGTGGAGGTGGTATTTTCTTAGTTTAGTGCTAAATAATCCGTAAGTAAACAAAATGAAATGCACTATACTTACTAGATGTGACATAAACTATTTCAATATTAGGGTTGACTTTCTAAATCGGATGATTACCTGCCAGAAGCTGAAGATACTATCAGAATAGTTCCGTAAACAAGTTGAATTAATTGATTGATTGTGAGTACCTATAAATAATAAGATTAGAAGCAAAACAATTAGAAACTAAACTTACCTATTTAGGACTAGTGTTGGAACTGAAAACAGCAGCATAACCAGTGTCGTAGCACGAGGGATTAGAGGGGACTATTTCTTGTAAGTAATTTAGTAATTAATTCAAGGTGAAATAGTTCTTTATTAAAAAATATATTACAGTTGAGCTGCTTGAAAAGTTGCTGCAAAAATTTAGTCATATTCTATAATTGATCCGAACAAACTCAAAAGAAATATTGAGAAAAGGATCTAACCTCAAACATGATGCCGGGAGATGCGAATTTCACCAAGACCGCCTGTGGAGGCTGCGGATCGGTGTCCGATGAGGATGAAGGCATGGTATGTTGTGACAAGTGCAACGTTTGGTACCATTACCGGTGCGTGGGAGTCACGGAGGAAGTCGAAAGTGACGCAAAGTGGTATTGTCCTGAGGAAGACTGCCAAAGCCAGAAGAAACTGGACGCAGAATCTTCCAAAACGGGTGCCAAAAAGAAGAAGAAAACGACCGACGACAACTCGGATAAGTCCAGCGTGAAATCCGACGGAAGGTCTGGCTCGTCGATGGAACGTCAGCTCAAAGCTCTTGAAAAGGAACGGAAAAAGAAAGAGCAAGAGCTGAAGAACGAACGCGTTCTGATGGAAAAGCGGATGGAAATCGACCGAATCCTTCAAGAACAGCGGATCGAAATGGAGAACGAGTTTCGGGCTAAGGAATTACAGCAGCAAAAACAGTTGTTGGAGAAGGCGCTGAAGGACAAGCAAGATCATTTGGACCGGATGAAGAAGATGCGGGAGTCGTTCAATGCAACACGCAGAAAAAATTACCGTCGAAACAAAAATATTTGAGGTAAATTTAAACGTAAATTCAGTTTGTTCTGGCCACAAACATAAACTAGGTTGATTTCAAACGTATTCTACGTTTGAATCCATTGATAATAATGTTTAAAACAAAAATAATGTTACGTTTATTTTAAAAATATTCGTGTTGAAAATAAACGTGAATATTTTTGATTTATTTGAAAACTATATGCAATCAAAAATTAATATGTTTATTTTAAACATGCTTTTCATGTTTAAAATAAACAAACATATTTTGAAATTATTTTAGCATTTGAATGCTGAATAAATCAAAATAAAATGGATAGCAAATTAATGGAAATTCCTGCGATTATGGAAAGTCTGTGGATGTTTGGATCCGGGGGCCGTCGGGGTGGGTGTCCGATCCGATCCAGTTCAGTAAAACTGGTGAAACTTTGTGATATTAGCGTCATTTTGTCGTTTATGACGCTGGTCCTCATACCGGCCTCTTTCTACGTTTAGTGTTCGGGGATGATCTGTTTTTCTTTCGACGTCGGGTGGGGGGTGAGGATGATATGGGGATCGGTATCAGAAACGACGGATTGCCGTTAATATTGTGATGTTCCACCGGTTTTGTCGAGCTTGGAACATTGCGTGGGTTTCCGGACCCTCTACTTCGGTTTCGCCGCTTGCAGGCCGTTTTCGGTTAAGTTTGCCGAATGTAAACAAGAAGGAAAAAAGGACACGCTAAAAATTGATTACCCAGGTTATGTATTGTTGAAATAAACATGCTTTTGAATTTATTCTAAACATACATATTTTTGTTGAGAACATGTTTGTAATTTACTTTGAACTATTCATATTTTTATTTAATAAACATATATATTTTTAACTTAAATGAACAAAATTTGGTTCCGTGAAGGATGGATCAAGTCCAGCAAGAGTTGTCCAAGCTAAACGCTGGTGAAGATGACAGAAAGGAATCGGTGAACAAAGTTTCTGATGCCGTGAAACAGTCGACCGCGGGAACACCGTTGAAGAATCCGGAAATACGTAGCCAAAAGCGATCGGAGAAAACCAAGAAGGTCGAATCGGATGAAGAAGAGGAGGAAGAGGAAGATGAAGAGTCTGATGAATCTAGCAGTGACGATGAAAGTGAGGAGCAGTCTGAAAGCGACTCGGATGAGGCCACCGAAGAAGAAGACGAAGAAGAAGAACCCAAGAAGACGAGCAAAGAGAAAAATAAGTCAGGAAAAGTTAGATCTCACGGGCTGGGACAGTCTAATGCGGCACCTTCTAAAGCGCAAATGGTGGCCCGGAGTGGAATCAGCAAGAGACTTCCACTATTTACTGGAAAGCCTGAAGAATGGCCGCTGTTCATTGGAAGCTATCAAGCCTCCAACGATGCTTGTGGGTTTTCCGACGTTGAGAATCTTGTTCGGCTGCAGGAGAGCTTAAAGGGTCAGGCGTTGGAAAACGTTCGAGGACAGCTACTGTTTCCAAAATCGGTGCCGAAAGTCATAAGCAAACTTCGTCAGCTGTATGGACGCCCGGAACAGTTGCTAAAGTGTCACCTTGAGAAAGTGCGGCGATTGGATCCTCCGAAGTCAGACAAATTGGCGTCATACATTCCATTCGGTAATGCTGTGGAGCAATTATGCGAGCATCTAGAGGCAGCGGGTTTAGAGCAGCACCTGGTTAATCCTCTTCTTATCCAGGATCTTGTCGATAAGCTTCCGGCCCATGATAAGCGTGAATGGGTTCGCTACAAAAATCGGAAAAGGAAGGTGAACCTGCGTACTTTCACCGATTTTGTGTCGAAGATTGTTGCAGAAGCTTGCGAGGCCAACGTGAAGATGGATTTCAGAGCAGAATCGAAGCCAGTTTGCAACGAGCACGCCGGAAAGAGCAAAGCGAAGGAAAAGGGAGCTCATTTATACAATCACAGTGCAGTGGAGAGGGCCAACCCCGGCGTCGGCGAGAATCATCCGAGACCGTGCAAAGCGTGCAAGTGGACCGATCATCGTCTGCGATTCTGCCAGGATTTCAAGGCTTGGACACTTCGGGACCGTTTGAAGTTGGTCGAAAAGTGGAAACTCTGCGTTGTCTGCCTCAATGATCACGGTAACGCTCCGTGCAAATTCAAGATCCGGTGCAACATCGACGAATGTCGGGAACGTCACAATCCTCTATTGCATTCCGCCACCGGATCCGTGGTAATCAACGCACACTTTCGAACCACCAGTACCATCATGTTCCGTATGATACCAGTGACATTGTATTTCGGTAAGCGGTCGGTTAATACGTTAGCGTTTCTGGACGAGGGCGCATCAGTGACTCTGATAGAAAGTTCCCTGGCGGATCAGCTAGGTGTTCAAGGAACGAAGGAACAGTTGACCATCAAATGGACAGCCGATATCACGCGCGTGGAGAAGGGATCCCGACGAATGGACTTGTTCATTTCCGGACGAGATGGGAAGGAGAAACATCAACTCGGCACGGTTCGAACTGTTGACGAGCTGCTACTACCGAAGCAATCCCTAAGTGCGTCGGTGCTCTGTCAGCGGATGAAGAAACTGCAAGGGTTACCGATTGCTTCGTACGAAAACCAACGCCCGGGGTTATTGATCGGTCTGAACAATCTCCACTTGCTTGCACCGACTGAAGCAAAGGTTGGTAAGCCTGGTGAGCCAATAGCGGTGCGGTCCAAGCTAGGATGGGCAGTGTACGGTCCAAATGAGGTGCAGCTATCAAATGCGGAAGTGTATCTGGGACATCACGATGAAGTAAGCAATCAGGAGCTGCATGATCTGCTGAAAAGTCAGTACGCTTTAGAGGACTCCGTAGTGGTGAAGCTGACAGAATCGGAAGATGATAGAAGAGCTCGTGAAATCTTGGAGCAGACCACCAGAAGAGTGGGCGATCGATTCGAGACCGGCCTACTGTGGAAGGAAGGAGAGCCAGAACTTCCAGATAGTTATCCGATGGCCACGCGCAGGATGAAATGTTTGGAGCAACGACTGCTGAAGTCACCAGCGCTGTTCGAAAACGTTTGCAAGCAGATCAAGGAGTATCAGCAGAAGGGCTATGCGCATCTGGCAAGTGCCGAAGAATTAGAAGAAGCCGAACCGGGAAAAGTTTGGTATCTTCCACTCAACGTCGTCCTTAACCCAAAGAAACCGGGAAAAGTACGACTCGTGTGGGATGCAGCAGCAAGTGTGAAAGGAATATCCCTCAATTCCTTACTTCTCACAGGACCTGATTTGCTGGTATGTATACTCACCGTATTTTGCCAATTTCGTGAACGACCGATCGCTTTCGGTGGAGACATCCGCGAAATGTACCACCAGATGCAGATTCGTCCAGCCGACAGACGAGTACAGCGATTCGTCTTCCGATCGAATCCCAGAGAAGCACCTAGTATTTACGTTATGGACGTAGCTACTTTCGGATCGAAAAGTTCTCCATGTTCCGCCCAGTTCGTAAAGAACAAGAACGCGATGGAGTTTGCAGTACAGTATCCGGAAGCCGCCGCAGCAATCGTGAAGAAACACTACGTCGACGACTACTTCGACAGCGTTGATACCATCGAAGAAGCGATACAGCGGGCAAAGCAGGTGAGATTTATACATTCGAAAGGGGGATTCGAGATAAGAAAATGGGTATCCAATTCGGAGGAAGTCCTAGTCAGTCTTGGGGAACCGAAACCCGTCCAGACGATTCATTTCAACCAGGACAAAGAGACTGGAAATGAACGCATACTCGGTATAATTTGGAATCCAGGTCAAGACGTTTTCTCCTTCTCGACTGAACACCGCGAAGATCTACAAGAGTACCTGCAGGGTCATAAGACACCAACGAAGCGCATTGTACTGAGTTGTGTCATGGGGTTCTTCGATCCGTTGGGACTACTCTCATGCTTCACCGTACATGGAAAGATCTTGGTTCAGGACTTATGGCGAACGGGCTGCGAGTGGGATGAAGAAGTCGACGATGCATGCTTGGTCAAGTGGAAGCAATGGACGGATCTCTTGCCGTTAGTGGAGAGGGTTCGCATTCCGCGCTCATATTTTGGACAGACGCGGTCATCCGAAATTAACAGGCTTGAGCTGCACATCTTCACGGACGCTAGTATACAGGCATATGGCTGCGTGGCCTACTTTCGTGCAATGGTAGACGGTGAAATTAAATGCCTGTTGGTGATGTCTCGATCAAAAGTAGCCCCTCTTAAGTTACAATCCATTCCGCGGTTGGAACTGATGGGAGCTGTCCTCGGTGCAAGAATGTTACAAACGATCAAATCCAACCATTCGCTTTCCATAAACCGTTGTTTTCTTTGGACAGATTCGCAAACAGTTATGAGTTGGTTGCGTTCGGATCAACGAAAATACAAGCAGTTCGTTGCATTCAGGGTTGGAGAAATTTTGGAGACAACCAGCTCAACGGATTGGCGATGGATTAGATCTCGGATGAACCTGGCTGATGCACTAACGAAGTGGGGACAAGGTCCTCCATTGGATTCAGAAGGAGAGTGGTTTAATGGTCCAAATTTCCTGCACCAACCAGAAGATTGCTGGCCGACCGAGGGGTTGCCGGATGCAAACACTGAGCAGGAAATGAAAGCATACTTGCTGCACCATGAAATGAAGGAGTTTCCAGAACCCGTGATCGATGCAGAAGTGACATGGCGCTGGCGTAAGTTGTTGCGAATCACAGCTTGCGTAATCAGATTCATTACAAATCTTCGACGCAAGGTAAAGGGCTTTCCGTTACGAACGATGGTGGCGAACGAGAGGCAACAACAGCTACTTAAGGCGGAATACAATGTTGTACAGCGACCACTGCAGCAGGACGAATTTTCGAGAGCGGAAGTGATTTTGTGGAGGCAGGCGCAGTTGGAGGCGTTCCCAGATGAAGTAATGGTACTCCTGGGAAATGGATCACTCAAAGCGAATCAGAAGCCAGAGCAGATCGGGAAGAGGAGCCCATTATACAAACTCACCCCGATCGTAGACGAGTGTGGCGTGATTCGAATGAATGGTAGGATGGCGAAGTCAGACGAAATCCCGTTCGATACGAGGGGGGCGACACATCTAAATCTCAAGTTTAGATGGTCAACAAATCTCACACTAGCGAATCAATCTTCGAACAATCTTCTTTCATTTGTCGCATCTACTTGCATCGCTCATCAATTTTTTGCAGGAAATCTTCAGAATCGTCATCAATCTTCTTTCTATCTACTAAGCGTGCGTGCAGCTAGCCACAGCAAAACACAATCTTTTTTGCATCGTAGATAGAGTCGTCCCCCTCGGTTCGATATGAAGTTCCCGATTATCCTGCCGAAAGGACACGCAGTGACGAAACGATTGGTACAATATTACCATGAAAAGTTTGGACATGCAAATCGGGAAACGGTCTTCAACGAGCTTCGACAGAAGTTTTATATTCCGAAGTTGCGAACGGAAATCCAGCAAGTGATGAGAAAGTGTGTCTGGTGTAGAGTGAATCGCTGTTATGCTGAGGTCCCGATGATGGCTCCACTTCCGGTTCAGCGAATCACCCGACAGCTTCGACCTTTCAGTGCTGTTGGAGTCGATTATCTAGGACCTGTGGAAGTGACGGTTGGTAGAAGAAAGGAGAAGCGGTGGATCGCCCTGTTCACGTGCCTTGCTGTACGTGCGGTGCACTTGGAAGTAGTGCATGGATTGACAACGCAAGCATGTCTCATGGCCATTCACAGATTCATCTGCAAACGAGGAGTTCCAGACGAAATCTTCTCCGACAACGGGACAAATTTCAAGGGAGCCAGCAAGGAGTTGATTGCTTGGGTGAAGCGAATTGACAGTGAATGTGCGGATTCAGTGACGAGTAGCACAACGAAGTGGAACTTCAATCCTCCTGGTACGCCACACATGGGTGGTATTTGGGAGAGGATGGTTCGATCTGTAAAGGAGGCGATGAAGGCACTCGACGATGGCAGACGTCTGACGGACGAAATTCTATTAACTACCCTGGCTGAAGCGGAAGATATGGTAAATAGTCGTCCGCTAACGTACGTACCCCAGGAATCAGCAGATTCCGAAGCGCTAACACCGAACCATTTTCTTCGAGGTACGGTCAAGTCCGTCGATGTTCACGTAGATGGTTCGGTGGACTTAGCAGAAGCGTTGCGCGACATTTACAAGCGATCGCAGTACTTGGCGGACCAGATGTGGCAGCGTTGGTACAAGGAGTACTTGCCAACGATCAACAAGCGTACCAAGTGGTTTGCTGAGAGGAAGTCATTGAAGAAGGGAGATCTCGTGTTTGTAGTAGATGGACAGAACCGGAAAAGCTGGGTTAGAGGTATTGTCGAGGAAGTCTTCGTAGGATCAGACGGCAGAGTTAGACAGGCGGACGTACGGACAGGCAAAGGCGTATTCCGGCGTGGAGTAGCCAACCTTGCAGTGCTGGAAGTTCTTGATGGTAAATCCGGAACCACTGATGAACGGGTACCGGAGTTACGGGCTGGGGTGTGTTGACACCACTGGGCTTCAGCTGTACTCGCGACCGGCCTGCCGTGAAGTGAGATGTGAGAAGCGAGATGTATGCGTCACCGGTCTACAGCGGTAGGACCGTCGTTGATTGTTTACATCGATTCGTGGAGAAGTAGAACGGAGGATACAAACAAAAACAAACCCAAGAGATAGTGGAGGAGCTCAGTTTTGTTTAATAAAGTTGTAAAATCACAAACAAATCTAAAGTTTAAATCAGTTTTCTGTGGAGGTGGTATTTTCTTAGTTTAGTGCTAAATAATCCGTAAGTAAACAAAATGAAATGCACTATACTTACTAGATGTGACATAAACTATTTCAATATTAGGGTTGACTTTCTAAATCGGATGATTACCTGCCAGAAGCTGAAGATACTATCAGAATAGTTCCGTAAACAAGTTGAATTAATTGATTGATTGTGAGTACCTATAAATAATAAGATTAGAAGCAAAACAATTAGAAACTAAACTTACCTATTTAGGACTAGTGTTGGAACTGAAAACAGCAGCATAACCAGTGTCGTAGCACGAGGGATTAGAGGGGACTATTTCTTGTAAGTAATTTAGTAATTAATTCAAGGTGAAATAGTTCTTTATTAAAAAATATATTACAGTTGAGCTGCTTGAAAAGTTGCTGCAAAAATTTAGTCATATTCTATAATTGATCCGAACACATCGAATGATTTCAAAATTCAGAAAATCATTTTTTTATAGCGACCCTATATATGAGTGGAAGCAACCCTGGTTGGGCCCATGGACATCCCTAGCAATGACATTTATATAAGGTCTGGACCAACAGGCAGCTTGCTGGTGTTAGAAGCAAAAATGTTGTAAACATTGCTGAACATCTGCGAACAGATAGATATACGTCACTGCCAACATACTGAGAACAGATAGATATACGTCACTGCCAACAGCTGTTTCGTGTAAAAAGATAAACATTGCAATATAATACGAACACCACTAATCATTTGAACATTTCACTAACACCAATAAGCCCTTTGGCCCAGACCTTATATAAATGTCATTGCATCCCTAGTACACGAAACAGAATCCATCGACCAGTTGAGCTCACTGTTGGCAGACCACCCTGTCTCCAGTCGATCGTCTCTTTATAAATTCAGGCTCTTTAGGTATACCGAACAGCGAGAAACGTCATCGGAGTTTTTAGAAGAGAAGTGAAACAGCGTGTTTTAGACACGAAGCATATTTTACAAAATAAAGTTTATTTTAATTGTATTTATCTCTCGCGCATTACATACATCCAATGTCACGGTCACCTATGTCGCGCGAGTCGTAAAAGTGGCGACGAGAAATTCGGTTTTTCGTGGAAAAAGTGCGAGTGAAAAAATACTCCACCCACGAGGAAGAGGCGTCGAATCGCGAGCATGAGTTCGCCGCCCGGAGAAAATTTTGGTCAATCTGTGGCAAACGGCGCACATCCCCCGGCACCAGGAGCACCTCTACCACCGCCGGGATGAAACAATCAACATCATTCGCCGCCCAACCCAGGAAATCCGCTTTTTCGTCCTCCAGTGATGCACCAGGGAAACCAACCTCAAATGCAGCAGCAACAAATGTCCATTCAAGCCGACCCGATGATGCTGCAGATCCTGCACCAATTGCAGCAGCAGCAAGTATCAATCAACCAGTTGCTTGTACAGCAGCAGGAAACGGCACAGCGGCAGCAGCAGGCATTTTTAAAGCAGCACGAGCAGGTAATCCGGTCAACAATGTCAGCTTTCGGTCAGCCACCAACGCATCCGGAACAGATTGTCGACTCGCTCGCCAACAACATCGTCGAGTTTCGATACGAACCGGATAGTGGCGTCACGTTCGCCGCCTGGTATACGCGGTACGATAACCTGTTTTCGAAGGATGCCGTTCGCCTGGATGATGAGGTGAAGGTCCGCCTACTACTTCGGAAACTGGAACCGTCGGAACATGAACGATACGTAAGCTACATTCTGCCGAAAACTACGAAGGAGGTGAATTTTACGGATACATTGGCGAAACTGAAAAGCTTGTTTGGTACGGTGGAATCGCTCATCAGCCGGCGTTATCGTTGCCTCCAAGTCGTCAAGCAGCCTGGTGAGGATTACAAGACGTACGCTTGCCGGTTGAATCGACTTTGCGTCGAGTTCGAGTTAGCGAAAATGAGCGAGGAGCAGTTTAAATGCTTGCTTTTCGTATGCGGTCTGAAATCGGAAGGAGATGGCGAGATCCGGACACGATTGTTGACCCGCATCGAAGAAAACGCAGCAGTCACTGGAACAAATCTCCGACGAATGTCAACGACTGCTCACGATCAAGCATGATACATCCATGATCGAATCGTCAGCAACCATCAAGGCACTCCGGCGTAAGCAGCCCTTCCGAAAGCAGCAGTTCAAGCAAGAGATGGGGCACTCAGCGTCGAAACCAGGTAAGCCAGATGGAACTGGTCCAGCTACACCATGTTGGAACTGCGGTTCCATGCACTATGCACGGGATTGCACCTACGGCAAGCACAGGTGCAACGAATGCGGCCAGTTTGGCCATCGGGAAGGCTACTGTTCCAGCGCCAGGTAAACCAGCAGCTCTTTGAAGCGGAAGAAATTCAAGCCGGTGGCAACCAAGACCGTTTTGGTGAGCAGCGTGAAGAAGCAGCGGAAGTTCGTGACAGTGCAGTTAGGAGGGAAAGCGGTAGCTCGATACGGCATCCGACATTAGCGTAGTTTCGGAAACGACGTGGAAAGAAATCGGTCAGCCACCGTTGAAGCCAGCAACGATAAATTCGTCTACAGCATCCGGTCTTATCGACACATTCAATCTGTGGTCGGTCCCAATAGAGCATTTCTGCAACCAGGTCAGCAGTTCTCCGTCAAACATCGACGCCCTCAAGCAAGTTTTTCCCTCGACATTCTCCAACGCACCGGGGTTGTGCACGAAAGCGAAGGTCCGGTTCAGCCTGAAGGAAGGGCAGACTCCTGTGTTCCGCCCAAAACGGCCAGTCGCCTACGCAATGTACGACACGGTGAATCAAGAGCTGGATCGACTGGAACAAGCAAACATCATCACACCAGTTGAGTACTCCGAGTGGGCTGCACCGATAGTTGTGGTCCGGAAGGCGAGTGGTGCCATACGAATCTGCGGTGACTATTCCACCGGGCTGAACGACGCTCTCCAACCGCATCAATATCCGCTTCCTTTCCCACAGGACATCTTTGCAAAGCTGGCCAATTTCAAAATTTTCAGCCTAATAGACCTGTCAGACACCTACCTGCAAGAAATGGATAAAGCCTCAAGAGATCTGCTAACAGTAAACACGCATCGGGGCTTGTACCGCTACAACCGATTGCCGCCAGGAGTGAAAGCCGAGGTGAAAGCAGCACCTGGAGCGTTTCAACAACTGGGGGACACCATACTGATCGGACTCAAGCATACCTCAGGTTACATCGATGACGTGATTGTAGGAGGAGTGGATGAAGCGGATCACCTACGAAACCTGCAAGCAGTTCTTCAGCGCATTCAATAATATGGCTTCACCATCAAGACGGAGAAGTGTTCTTTTGGGCAGCGACAAATAAAGTACCATCGACGGACGAGGATTGCGACCGGATCCAGCTAAAATCCAAGCCATCAGGGAATTGCCAGCTCCTACGGATGTGTCCGGCGTTCGCTCGTTCCTTGGGGCAATTAACTATTACGGTAAATTCGGAATGCGGAATTTGCGATATCCTCTCGATGAATTGTTGAAGGCCGGCAAGAAGTTTGAGTGGTCGTCAAAATGCCAAAAATCCTTCGACAAATTCAAGCAGCTTTTGTCATCTGATCTCTTGTTGACGCACTACAAACCAGAGCTGCCGATCAGTGGGAGTTGGAGCTACGTTGAGCCACAAGATGCCTGATGGATCCGTCAAAGTCGTGCAGCACGCTTCTCGTGCACTAACACCGGCAGAGCAAGGGTACGGTCAACCAGATCGTGAAGGCCTTGCGATCGTGTATGCGGTTACCAAGTTCCACAGGATGTTGTACGGTCGCAGCTTTCTCCTTCAAACGCTCATCACGCTCCTCTTCTCCGTATCTTTGGGTCAAAAACGGGAATCCCCGTCTACATGGCAAATCGTCTGCAGCGGTGGGCATTGCAGCTACTGCTCTACGACTTCAAGATCGAGTACGTCAACACAGAGAAGTTCGGGAACGCGGACGTTCTTTTCCGACTCATCGCCCGCCATGCAAGACGAATGATGATGAACGCGGGAACGTGGACGTTCTTTTCCGACTCATCGCCCGCCATGCAAGACGAATGATGAAGATTTCGTCGTAGCCAGTGTCATCCTCGAGGAGGACTTGAGGTCAGTAGCATCCAACTCTATCAAGTTCGTTCCTCTCAGTTTTAGGACAGTACAGCAAGCCACCCAGACTGATCCAGTACTTAGCAAGGTCTACCGGCCATCGGCCATCGCCAATCAAGAAGTCCAGAAGTTCTACGACCGTCAAGACTCGTTGTCGGTTTTCCAAGGGTGTGTGATCAACCGGTGAACACTCGTGTTTATTTCAGTTACCATGGAGATGTAATTTGTGACTAGCTCCGGTCCCTTTCAAATTGTATGATTATTTATGAACGGCCTTACCCACACGAATTGCCGGCGAAAAAGTGACGTCATTTGACATTGAGCGACTTGAAGACTGATCGTTCGCCCTTTGTCCGGGATGCGGACGAAGGGCGACTCGCCCCGCTAGAGTTATTTCATCCGCCGGGCGACCAAATGGCGCTCCGGGATCCGGACGAAAGGCGACTCGCCTCGCTAGAGTAATTTCATGCGCCGGGCTACCAAATGGCGGATGGAACTTAGCCATTTTTTTGTGATTTTTTTTTCGCGGCGGCTGTCAGTCATCTTTTTATATCGTGCGGGTGGAGAAGTGTTTTTTTATCCGCGCCACGAAAATGGCCTCCGATGGCCATGTTGGGAGAGTAGCTAATGGAATATGGAAGGTAAATATGGTAAATATTCTACATGCAAATTGTGCATGATAATTGATGTTGACATTTTTTTTCAGCCAGATCCAGTACAATTTCGGATTATCGGAGGTAGAGCTGGCGACAAGAAGTAGAATAGGGTAAGTATTAAACTGTTTGTGTTATTAATTGACATAATTTTTGAAAATTGATCCGCTGGCGGAATCCGGCTAAGTTAAGCATTCTTACTGATGCAACGCATAAATAAGGGGCTGTTCATAAACTACGTAGACAGTTTAGGGGGGGGGGGGGGTAGACCATTATTTATGGCCCATACAAATTTTAAATTTTTTGTATGGACAATTGTCTACGCAGGGGGAGGGGGGCAAGAATCCCAAAAAACTGTCTACGTAGTTTATGAACAGCCCCTAAGGATGTTTAATTCATCCGGATTCATCCGGCGGATCAATTTTGATGTAATTGTTTTTCAAAATTGATCCGCTGGAGGAATCCGGCTGAGTTGAGCATCCTTATTGATGCGTTGCATCAGTTAGGATGCATAACTCAACCGGATTCCTCCAACGGATCAATTTTGGAAAGTAATTACAAATTCTAACAGACAGATGAAAAATTTGATGATTTTTTAAAATACTTTTTTTCAGCCGACTGCTTCCAGGAATCCGGCTGAGTTAAGCACCTTTACTGATGCAACACATGCCGATGCCGGATCCCGATGTTTATGTTTAAGGTAAAGTTAAGTTAAATTTTTATTAAAATTAAGTAAAAGTTAAAGTTATTTCAATGTTAAGTTAAATTAAGTATGTAACAACTAAATTAAAGTTAAAATTATGTTGAAGTTAAGTTAAAGTTCGGCTAATTAAGTTAGAGTTATGTTAATTTCATGCTACAATTATGTTAAAGTAAAGTTAAAGTTAAGTTAATGTTATGTTAAAGTTAAAGTTATGTTAATAGTAAGATAAAAATTTGTTAAAACAAAAGTTAAATTTTAGTTAATGTTACGTTAAAGTTAAGCTAGAGTTAAGTTAAGGTTATGTTTAAGTTAAGTTAAAGGTAAGTTACAGTTATGTTTATGTTAAGATAAAGTTAAGTTAATTTATGTTTAAGATAAAGTTAAGTTAAAGGTAAGTTAAAGTTATGTTGAAGTTAAGTTAACGTTAAGTTAAAGTTAAGTAAAATTTAAGTTAACGTTAAGTTAATGGTAAGTTAAAATTATGTTAAGGTGAAGTTTATTCAAATTTATGTATAAGTTATGTTAAAGTTAACTTTAAATTAAATTTATGTTAAAGTTAAAGTTACGTTAAAGTTATGGTAATGTTAAGTTATAATTAATTTAAATTTAAAGTTATGTTAAAGTTAAAGATATGCTAAAAATAAATTAAATTAATGTTGAATTTGTTTCAATTTAAGGTGAAGTTTTGCTAAAATTATGTTCAAGTAAAGTTAAGTTAAAGTTATGCCACAGACAAACAGACATAACACTCGCAAGTTGTTCATCGAACAAGCATTTAACGGTCAATTCAAAAGTATCGTAGTTGGTAGTACCGCCACCTGTGGCGCGCATAGTCAATTCCCTTGCGTTTGACGTTTACACACTACCGCCATCTGTTCAGCGTACTACCCACCACAGTGTACTCAACAGATGACGGTAATGTTTTAGCAACGATGTTTTACATTGAGAAATATTCAATGTGTTATGTCTGTTTATCTGTGGTTATGCTATAGGTAAGTTAAAGTTAAGTTAAGTTAAATTTAAGTTAAGTTTAGTTAACGTTATGTTAAAGTTAAAGTTGATGCTTAAGTTAAGTTAAAGTTCAGTAAATTTTAGGATAAAGTTATGTTAAATTTAAGTTAAAATTACGTTTAGTTAAAGTTAAGTTAAATTTATGTTAAGTTAATGTTCGGTTTGAGTTAAAGTTATGTTAATGTTAAAGTTATGTTAAATTTAAGTTAAAATTTAAGGTTAAGTTAATGTTAGGTTAAAGTTATGTTAAAATTTAAGTTATGTTAAATATAAGTCAAAATAAAGTTAAGGTTATGTTAAAGTTTATTTAAAGTTAAGTTAAAGTTTAGTTAAAGTTAAGTACAGTTTAAGTTAAGTTTAAGTTAAATTTAAGTTAAGTTTAAGTTAAGTTTAAGTTAAGTTTAAGTTAAGTTTAAGTTAAGTTTAAGTTAAGTTTAAGTTAAGTTAAAGTTAAGTTTAAGTTAAGTTTAAGTTAAGTTTAAGTTAAGTTTAGGTTAACGTTAATTAACGTTATGTTAAAGTTAAAGTTAATGCTTAAGTTAATGTTAGGATAAAGTTATGTTAAATGTATGTTAAAATTACGTTAAGGTTTTGTTTAAGTTAAAGATATGTTAAGTTAATGTTCGGTTAAAGATAAAGTTATGTTAATGTTAAAGTTATGTTAAATTTAAGTTAAAATTTAAAGTTAATTTTAGTTTAAAGTTATGTTAAAAATTAAGTAATGTTAAAATTTAAGTTAAAGTTAAGTTAAAGTTAAGTTAAAGTTAAGTTGAAATTAAGTTAAAGTTAAGTTAAAGTTAAGTTAAAGTTAAGTTAAAGTTAAGTTAAAGTTAAGTTAAAGTTAAGTTAAAGTTAAGTTAAAGTTAAGTTAAAGTTAAGTTAAAGTTAAGTTAAAGTTAAGTTAAAGTTAAGTTAAAGTTAAGTTAAAGTTAAGTTAAAGTTAAGTTAAAGTTAAGTTAAAGTTAAGGGTCGGAACCAGATGAAGAAACTGGACCACTGATTGCCGAAAGTTACACACAAAATCTACCGGAAACCATAGGGGAATTGAAGCAGTGGGACGACTGGGCTGAGTGAAAGCTGGCGATCAGCGATGAAATGAAGTCGCTGGAGAAAAACAACACTTGGGACCTGGTTGACCATCCTGATGACTGTCGAGCAGTGCCATGTAAGTGGATTTCCAAAATAAAATACATCAGTTATTACAATTCGGTAGCCAGATATAAGGGGCCACTAGTAGCGAAAGACTGCTCTCAACAATTCGAACTAGACCACCTAGAAACGTATGCTTCAGTGGTTCGAATGAGTACCGTCCGCACACTACTGTACGTGACTGTACAACGCAAATGATTCCTGCATTAAATGGACCTTCGGACCGCCTTTCTGAACGGAATACTGTCGGGAGACGGGCTACATGCGGCAACGACCAGGATTTGAACGAGGGAAGTAGGGACATAGACGCTGGAACGTGTAGTTCTTCAACTATATGGTGAAGATGGATTTTCACCTATCGCAGTATGGCAGCTGTCTTTACACCACTACTGAAGGAAAGGTGCAGATCTACGTTGTCCTGTACGCAGATCATATAATTCTGCAGGCGTCAAACACGTTCAAGAAGTCGGAGCAAACCAAGAAGCAGCTGGCTGGAGAGTTCGACATGATTGACCTTCATGAGTTGAACAATTTCTTGGGATTGTGTGCCGGTAGGCCGGTCTCCACACCATTATTGGAACCAAACAACAAGTTCGAAAAAACTAACAAATTATCTACATGTCCGCATCTTGCCGTGCGGTTCTATTTGCTTTATGCTGCTATA